CTTCGTAAAGCGCCAGTATTTTCACGAGACGCGAAAGAATGCTGGAAGGATTAATCACAGAAGGCGAGGAAGAGCGCGCGATCGAAACTTTGCCTATGCACGAAACGCCAGGATCGAACGGCCTCTCCGGAGAGTTTTATGAAGATTTTAAAAATATTTCCGTCCTTTTCTGCTTCAGGCAATTCGTGAAGTTTTCGAGAATAAAATGTTGCCACCAGGACCAACTTAAATAAGGGGGAGACCTTTCTACTGAACGGTAGCTCAGCGCCGGCTTAGAAGTACGCGCATTCCTCACGAACGCTTGTGGTAGCGCTCGGAGTCCCCCCCCCCCCCCCCCCCCCCTTCCCCTTCACCCTTCCCTACCGGATCCAGTCCGGGAAGTCTTGGGGAATATCGAAGCGAGGTGGCGACACCGCTGGAATCTGTGTGTTACGGTACGGAAATTTACGTGTCGACTCGAACTGCGGGGAAAGGGTACACTGTTACGTGTCGCTCTGTACCTCGTACGGAAAAACGGACAAATGAGTTTCATTTCGCGAACGTCCATCATCGAGTGTCCACGAAAAATGGATTAAAAAAATCCAGAAAACTGGTAAGTGTCGATTTTTTTTTCAACTCAGTCATTTGGGACAGTAAGCATAATAGCACCATATTGTATTTGAAGAAACAAAAAGGCAGTCATGGCATGTTTCAATCTTGTTTCTGTTTTTTTTTTTAAGGTGAAAAGAACTCCCTATGGCGCCCAAGTAATATCGGGAGCACTGTCTCATGCTCGCTGTATTTTATAAAAAAGCTGAAAATTACAGCGGGGCAAACAGTGTTCAGCGTTCGAGGTTTATTCGATGGGGGATCGGTGGCCGAGTGGTCTAGCGCACACCAGCTCGGAGCACGTGGAGCGAAAGCTCGCGCTGCAGAACCCAGGGATCCTGGGTTCGAGCCCCACCCCTGCCCGTTTCGATCTGGATGAGCATCGTACCGGCGTGCGGTCGTGTATCACTACTGCGTGATGCACGTTAAAGACCCCAGGCTAGCGGCTGTACCGCACTGGCTAAATTTCTCATCTACAGCTGGGAGACTCGTCGCCCCTGTGAGGCAGACCAAGTTCTAGGCTGTATAAACACACACACAACCCAATTTTTTTTGTTTATTCGATGGACAAACAGTGGAATTCAAAGCAGACTAGAAAACACCCCGCGACACCTGCAAGACCGTCGCACAAACGAAGAAGCGCCTTCTGTCTGCATAAAATTATTGTCATCATCATAATCATTCATTCATTATCATTGCAGGCTGTTACGGGCATTACACAAGAGAGCGGCACTTAAGACTCGGTTCGATATCGGTGCGCTGTTGCAAAAGCCAGGACTGCAGCTTGCTGCTTCGCCGCGAAATATGAAGAAAATTTTGCAACCCTTCTTAAAGGAACTTCACACGTCCCCAGATAAGGTACTATTTATCGTTTATAAAAAGTTAGAACAAGCAAAAAACGCCAAACAAATGTTTTGATACTTTTTCCAGCTCCAGGACTGCAAATCAGCACGTTGCCACTCATCGGAGGTTTATCGTGAGGGCGGCTAAAGACAACATTGCTTGCGACAGGTGCTTGCACCAGCTCAAGTCCCCTCCACACAACAGCGCAACCGTTGCGATAGCATACAACCTGGACAGTGGAGTACCGCGCTATCCCAGCCCCCGCTTCGTCAACTTTCTCAGAACGCTTGAGGGCGCAGCCACATGTCGTCAGAAAGTTCACGGGGCCTTTCCTGACGAACATTGCATCAGCATCGGGCAAAGTAGGTCATAAACAGGGGCGGATACAGAGGGGGGAGGGGGGGGGGGTCCGAATGTCCTGATTCCCCTCATGATTTCGGCATGTGTAATAATTTAGGGCGCGGAAACGGGGCAGGCCGGGGGGGGGGGGGGGGGTTCTTAACATATGGTACGCTGACCAACACGTGACCTCCCCCTCTGAAATTTCCTGCATGCGCCCCTGATCATAAAAGAAAAACCGACTCCCCGACAGGTGTTGAAGGTGTAAGACTTAATTCTATGAGAAGAATGCATAAAATTTGTTTTGTAATTATTGTGAAACAAATGCTGTGTATGCCTATTTATTACTCTAGGAATCCAATAAACTAATTTTTGCGCACAGAAGCTGCACCAGCGTTCAATAATTTCATGCTTGAATAGACGCCTGTAAGACAAAATCGCAGGTTTCAGTATCGCACCGAAAATCGCGCAGCGCCTTCCCCATTCAAAACGATAGGGGGGCTTTGCGCGCCGCCTCGTGGCCGCAACGTCAACTAGAGCTCTGGTAGCTCTCCAATAGGAGGGGCGCGCGATAGGCAGGTCTTTACCCTATTCAAGTTGGTTCTGGTTGCCACCTTTGTTTCTTCGAACACACACAGTGCTGATTCCCAAGACAAAAGACTTTGTGAAGGGAAGGCACATTACCGGATACCCGATCGCAGTCTGCAACGTAGACTATAACATATATGCAAGTATTTTACCTGAAAAACTTCAAAGCGTTATTTCTAAATCGGTGAGAACACACCAAACATGCGGCATTAAGGGAAGGACCATTCAGAGCAACATTAATGTAGCCCGTACTATTCTCGACTGTTGTCAGTTAGACGGGAACCAGGCTGCAGTTATTCAGATCGACCCAGACAAAACATTTGATCGCTTACGACACGATGAGCTTTGAAAAAGTTCAGCTCACGCGAATGTGCGAAAAGTGGTAGTAGAGGGTGTAAGAACGGCGTGTTCAGGATGTACGACGGAAGTGGTAAATAATGTTCTCACCCCTAATACACGAGTTTTTTCTTCAATACGGCAGGGCTGCCCCTTGTTACGCTAATGTTTGCCCTGTACCTGGAGTCATTCTGCCCAGATATATTGCAGAGTCAACTAGTACGCGAGTATGTCATGGGAGACGCAGAAGTAAAAGTCCTCGCGTTCGCGGACGACGTTGAGGCATTTTGGGCAAATAAGAAAGGTGTCGCGCAATCTTTAGATGTGTGCAGGACATTTTGTGAAGCTGCTGGCGCTGTGATTTATATAAGAAAATTAAAGGCTTATGGCACGGCGACCGGGTAATAATGGCCCGCCAGTTTGAAGGCGTTGCGTGGAGTTATAGACATAGCAGATACCTTGGGGCCCCCTTTCAACACTTAAAAACAACCTTCAACGTACTGGCACGATGTTACGGCTGATTTGAAGGATCCCGCTGCAAGATGGAGTTCAGGTGACCTGTCCTTTTTTGCGAGGTCCATAGCGTGTAATATGTTTTTGACTGCAAACGTCTGGGTCGTACTTGAGGTCTTGAACCGTTCGCGATGGAACATACAGAAAATTAACCGCGTTTTTGCATTGTTTATGTGGAAAATGGCAGGAGAATCAATGCGAAGAGACAATCTCTTTCAACTAATATCGAAGGGCGCTTTCGGAATGCCTCACTCGTCTCCCCGCCAGGTTGTCTCGCGTTTTTTTTTTCTTTTTTTTTTCTACGAGACCAGACGAATCCACTTATACAGTTGATGCTCCAAACAAGGCCTGGCCAAACATATTCTTTTCTTTTTTGCCTCTTCTGACCTGGGCCCTTCTGCTAAATTACTGGGCTTTGTAAAAAAGGTATTTGACTCTTTTAAATTCTTGACAGTGAAGTATTCGCTCAAATATTTATCTACTGTTCTGTGTAGAAAAATTGTATCGCGACCTAACCGATATCTTTCCGGCCCCGCTGTACATATCTCTTTATGCAAGCAAACCAGAAAAAGACGTCCCAGTTTTTGTGAAAAAAATATGTGTATTCCCCCGTCACCCAAAACCTTTTTCTTCCGATTACATTGTGACACCCTCAAGCTCTATCTGGGCAAACGGGGCATGATCGCCCCAGTGGGTGTTAACTGCCCACTACGCAGGATCTCAGAAACTATCGATCAGAGTATTCTGTACTGCTGGGACTCATTGTCTTTTTTTTTTTCTTTTAAATATCCTGCAATGAAATTAAAAAAAAAATAGCTGTCCTTGACATACAATTCTATACCTTTTCTATCCATCGTGGCAAACGAGAATCTTCTGATAGATATGATTACGGTTCTTGGGTTGTTTAGCTTGTAAAATTTGCGGATGACAGTGAGACACGCAGAGAAATTTCCCAGGTTAGCACGTATTTACTTTAATAAAAATGTTGCACAGGTAAAGGGGCCGCATGAACAAAGCGAATACCCGCCTGAGTGGATTGCAGTGTTTGACAGCCTCACACGAATGAAATACTTTTAATCACCGCCCTCCCGTAAGCACCGGGCTTTCTGATTCTAAAAGTGGAAAAAGCGTGCAAGAACCTGTAAGTAAGTGACTGTATGCCGAATAAAGAGATAAAGAATGCGGTGTGGCGCAGTGGTTATTGTGCCGGGCTTTTATTCCGCTATCCTGGGTTCGTACCCACTCAAGTTCTTATTGTATCGGGTGCACCTCGGAGGTATTGTGGACCATCGAGGCGTGGACAAATCATCTTTCATTTTTGTATTCTCTTATTCTATATAAATATATATATATATAAATAAATATATATATATATATATATATATATATAATCTTACGAAGAGGAAGGAAACAAAGACGGGCAATCAGGCAGGGAAAAAGGAAGAAGTGCCCAATCGCCGGATCCCTCAAGTTCGAAGCACCCACCTCATCCTTCTCCTACAACCCTCCTTAATCGTCTGTAAATAAAGCATCTTTCACCGTAACATTCTTTGGTGGAGGTGCGGATCGGCCCCGACCTGGACACACGAAGCAGACGTCGCCAACCTCCCACCGACATGACTTCCAGTTCCGAAAGACCACCCGAAGGCGCTCAAGCTCCGCCGCAGCCTTCACTGGTTATCGCCAAACCGCGTGATCCTGGCTTTTTCACCGGCACAGGAGACCAGGAGGTTGAAGACTGGATAGACCTCTATGAAAGAGTAAGTGTCCACAACCGCTGGGATGGCACTATCATGCTGGCGAATGTCATATTCTACTTGCGTGATACCGCCCGAACATGGTTTGAAACGCATGAAGAGGAACTAACGTCGTGGGACCTCTGCAAAGCCAAGCTTCAGGACCTCTTCGGACGTCCAACCGGTCGCAAGCTCTCGGCCAAGCGAAAGCTGGCATCTAGAGTCCAAACATCGACCGAGTCATATGTGACCTACATCCAAGACGTCCTATCTCTGTGCAGGAAAGCTAACCCCGAAATGCCAGAAATCGAACGGATGGAACACATCCTCAAAGGCATCGCAGATGATGCCTTCCAGCTACTTGTCATTAAGGATTGCTCGACTGTCGACGACGTCCTGAAAGAGTGCCGCAGGTTCGAAGCTGCAAAGACTCGCAGGATAGCGCACAAATTCAACCGTTTGCCAAACACCCCGGCAACATCATCTTGTGAAGACCCTGATACTAACACAGAGCGCATCACGAAAATCGTCCGCCGAGAACTGGAGGCGATGATGCCCGCTGACGGTGTTTCCCCGTCTCCCCGCTCATCGACTAGCGAGTTATCCATCGCCGCCGTTAAAACTGTCGTTAGGCAAGAAATGGAGAAGTTCGGCGGCTCGCCGCGTCGAAGTCTTCGACCATCATTTGATCAACAGGCACAGACACCCCAATGCTGCGCCTGTGAATCTTCAACTGCGACGCCATCCTTCAGACCGTACCACCGACGTGATCCCGCCACGTGGAGGACCCCCGAACGTGGCGTGATCCCGCCACGTGGAGGACCCTGCATCTTTCACCGTAACAATATATATATATATATATATATATATATATATATATATATTGTAGGGCTCGGTGCTATTGCTCACCCGAAAAAAGGACCAACGAGGCAGAACTCAAAGAACACACCTTTACTTTATGCTTGCGGTGGATGATCTCTGGCAGCCCGAGCCTCGACCGTGGCTCGCGCGCACCTTGCGCGCCGGGCGCCGAGCACGAGTTGTTTTGCGCCCGATGATGGGCCGCAAAGCCCACAAACTTCCCCTCTCCCCTCTCCCATTCTCTTTCCTCTGGCTCCGTGGCTGTCCTCTCTGGTTATTGGTGGTAGAAGAGGAGGGGTTTATGACGATGCAGGCGGCTGGATGCGGTTCGTGGAGGCCGTTTCCGGATTGGTGATGCGGTTGTTGCAGTTGCCAATGAAGTCCTTGAAAGACAACGTGGCGTCAGGAAGCTGAAAGGGCAGCTGTGCGTCATTCAGGAAAGCCTGGTTTTAGTACCCGAGCTGCATCTTGATGTTGGAGAACTGTGCGTCGTTATGGTGACGCACTGCACTCTGCTTGGCCAGGCGGTCCTCCATCTGCACCATGACACAGCTTTTCTTGTTCTTCAGTGATCTTGACGACTTTGCCGTGCATTCAGAGCAGGTTGAAGAGTTTCTCAGTGTTCATCTTCTTATAGTTAAACACCATCACCAGGAGCCCCTGATGCTGGTCCGCCGCCTGAGGACGAGTGGGCACATCCGGGGCCGTAGCTGGTAACGTCGCGCTCTGGTGGACCTTCGTAGCGGTCCTGGTCTCCACTGGTGTATCCTGTAGCCGTCGTTGTAGCCGCAGCCGGGGCTGTTCATCTGGCTTTCTGAGGTCCCGCCGTGGTCGTAGTTCTTGCGTCTCGCGGCGTAGCTAGGGCCGGTAGAGGGTCCTCGGCTGCCCACTGCGTTGCCGTAGTCCCAGATACCACGTGGCTCATCGAGGAGGTTCAGAGAGCCTCCGACAACGGTTGGGGCGGTAGCAGGACATGTTGAAGGTTCAACAAGAACGAAAAAAAAAATCAACAGTTGTCTTCTGGAGAGGCTTCTACAAGAAAGCGTCGCTAGGTTCGGCGCGGCCATAGGCTAGCTAAATTTGCGAGCACACTATCGGTGTATATTGCAAAAAACTACGCGCACATTCTGTATGGTGGGAAACTAGTTTTCGCCAAAGTACAGTGTAGCCAAAGCCTATTGCAACGCGCATCTTCTAAGTTTTCGTCTTCGTCTTTGTCATAAACATCAAAAAGAGTCCTAGCAGAATTAAGTTTATTTTTAAGTATAACCCGAATCGGCATCACTCCACCTGCGAGAGAAGTTCGTCATCTGATTCATAATGCCGTTTGAGGTTGGTGACATGAACAGGTCCAGCGAGTCGTCCAGACTCACAATGAACGAGCGTGTAAGTGAGGCGTGATACCTTGTCTCACCCTCGGTACGGACCATCCCACCTGTTCGCCAGGGAAGCTGTGAAACCTCTGGAGGAGTCACTAAGTGGGCGTGTCCGTCGGAGCACAATGTCTCCAACTTCAAATTGCACGTCCCGGTGGTCACGATTGTACTGCTCAGCCTGCTGTAGCCGTGCGACGTCCAAGCTCTCGCGTGCATCACAAACGATGTCCCTGAGTCTGCGTCGTAGGCTTCCTGCAAACTGAGAGAGAGAGAGAGAAGTGTTGAAAGGAAAGGAAGCCTGTAACTTATTAACCACACCGTCGATTGGGGGCAAGCCAGTTCCAGGTTCGGGATGGGGAAAGAGGGGATCAAAAGGAAAGATTAGAAAGGTGAAGAGAGGAGAGAGAAGGCATCTTGGATGAAGTCACAGTTACTTGGTTAGGTTTGTCCACTACTCTATATCTATTCACAGCACTGTCAGCACTTTTACAAGCGGTCCAGTAGGCAGGTATCTTCCAGGAATACAAGAAGAGAAGAGAATGTTCTTGCGGCATCACGAACGGAGCCGGGGGGGGGGGGGGAAAGAATGTCTTGCGTAGTAGAGCGGGCAACTCCCGCGATCTGCAGTTTGTCGAAGAAGATTTTTCTCTCTTCTGCGTAATTGGGACAGGCCCAAAAGAGATGGTCCACATCCTCAAGGGTGTCACAAGTAGAGGAGTTTGGGCTCATTGTTGCGTCAATTCGGGGGATGGCAGATGCAGTATAGGCACAGCCTGTGCGAAGCCGGTGTAGTACGGAGGCGCTTGCACGTGGTAGCTTCGTAGGGACGCGTGGGGGTGGTCTCCCGTCAGCGACCCGTGGGTCCGGATGATTCTGGATTATCGCTTGGTGAATTAGCAGCTTGGCTTCATGAATCTTTGGCACCACAATAATGGGAGTACCAAGCTGGTGTGCCGCAGCGGCAAGAAGGTCGGCCGTCTCATTACCCAAAATGCCTACATGTGAGGGCAACCATTGGAATGATATTTCCCAGCCCTTCGCTTGGAGGTTTCTTGCAAGGTGTGCAATGTATCGGGCATATTGAGGGGCATCATCAAGATTACCAAGATGTTGTAAAGCTATTTTTGAGTCGGTAAGGAGCAAAGCTTTCCCGCAGTAAGGAAGTTTCTCCAGGGCGTCAAGTCCAAGTCTAAGGGCCACCAGCTCTGCGGTTGTTGATGTGGCGCGGAAGCTGAGCTTTCTGGCATGAGACACATTCAGGTCAGGTATATAAACCGCTGCGGTAGATGACTTGCTGCTACGAAGAACAGAGCCGTCGGTGTATATTCGCATCCATCCTTGGTACAGTGTCTCAATATGATCCTCTGTAGTTGTCCGGGCAACGACCTGTGCTGTGTTGCGTTTGCTTTTGAGCATTGGAACAGTCTCATTTATGTTCAGTGGAGGGGCATATGGTGGCGGTGCCGAGTAGTCGGTGTCCGGATCACCAATAAAGGTCATAAACTCCGTTGCCAGAGAACCAAGGCAAGAAAGGGGGCGTTGGCGAAGGCGATCCAGAAGAGGAGCAGTTGAGCGACAGACAGTTTGCCTCGCTATGTGTCGGAGTGTTAGTTCTCTACAGTGATTTTCCACTAGGTTTACCCTCGCTTCCACTAGTGTTGGAACGTTTGGTGAATATCTGGGTAATTCAAGGCACAGACGAACTGCCACTCTCTGAAGAGTCTCTACTGCTGAACTCTGGGCATTGCCGAGGTTCACCAGTGGCAGTGCGTATAGCAACCTTGGAAGAATAAGACCCCTGTAGAGATGCATCATCATTGCCTGTACGGTCCCCCATCTGCTGCCAATGATCATGCGGATAGCGTTGAGGTGTCGGCGACATCTGATAATGGTTGTCTTGACTGCTGGTCGCCAAGAGACTCGATCATCCAGGAGGAAGCCTAGGTAGGAGTATGTTCGAACCCTTGTCACGTTTGTCCCATTGATCGTGTAAGTTCGGTTGATGGAAGACCTGGCCGTAGGGTGGTATTGAAGAGCGGCTGTTTGAGAGGCCGATAACGTAAGACCAAGCCTAGATATCACGTCAACTATAGCGTCAAGGCCTAGCTGGAGTGTTCGCTGCATGTTACTGTATGAGCTAGTTGGGGCAGTAGCCCAGAGAGCAACATCGTCGGCGTAAATTGCGATGTTTATGACTGGAGAGGGGTTGTTCAAGGGCTGCAGAGCCTCCGGCAGAGCTGCCATTGCTGCATTGAACAAAAATGGGCTAATGACGCTGCCCTGAGGAACACCCTGGGATACTTGCCGTTGTGAACTGCGCACACCTTCTAAGCGAACGCACATTGTACGCCCTGTCAGGAATGCACGAACGAACGCGAGTGCTCGGCCGGTAACACCAAGCCTGATTAGCTGAGCTAGAGTGGTTTCGTGTGGGATAGAGTCAAAGGCCTTTTTGATATCAAGGAATATTGCCCAGGTTGCTTGGCGACTTGCCTTTGATTGTTCCATGTCTGACACTAGGTCACCAATCGCGTCTGTTGTGCACCGCCGTTTTCGGAAGCCTGATAATTGATGAGGTAGAGCACCAGATGTCTCAAGCTGCCAGTCAAGGCGTCTTAGGACCATCCGCTCCAGAACCTTGCCGAGACAGCAGGTGAGGGAGATAGGCCTGTAGGAGCTGATGTCACCGGTTTGCTTCCCTGGTTTATGAATGGGAACTACTTCAGATGTGAGCCATGCGCGTGGCAGAACTGCCGAGCGCCAGATGTCATTGAGATATTCCAAAAGGCCCGGAAGGGCCGTTGCATCTAAATTGCGCAAGGCCTGAAAGGTGATCCCGTCTGGCCCTGGAGCGGTGCGTTTGCGAGCAGAGCGGCGAAGAGCATGTTGGAGTTCCTTCAGCGTAAAGTCCACGTCGTTGGCGGTCAATGTTGTTGGTAAAGTGTTAGTAGTGGTGCTATGCGCGGTATAGCCTTGGGGTGAGACAGGGACAGAGGTGAATTCATCGGCAAGGAATTCTACTGCTTGAGCCACAGTGATGTTCTGGGCGGTGACAAAACCAAGAACGGGTGACCGTGGAACAGCGTGCCCGGCAAGGGCACGGGCCATGCGCCACGCTTGTTTTCCTTCACCATTGGAGTGAAGCGACTCGCAACGCTGCCGCCATTGTCTCCTTTGTAGTCGTTTGGTGTGCTTCCGGAATGCTCTGTCTATCTTTCGATATTGCTGAATGTCCTCTTGCTTTGATGTTTTAAGTGCTCGGCGCTGTGCCTGGCGTCGCGAGGCACGTAACTTGAGGTATTTTAGGTCAGGGTTTGGCCGATATATGGGAATGATCACGGTTCTGGTCGCTTTGGATAACGCATTGGAGATGGCTATGGTGTAATCCAAATTGCCTAGAGACATTATTTCGGCAAACAACACGCGGTAGGCATCCCAGTTAGTCACTTTGCAAGTCTTGTGCGTGGTGGGGCCTCCTTCTAGTGAAGTAATTTTGATTGGTAGGTGGTCGCTGCCCCAGCCATCAGGTTCCGCTGACCACAAGGCTCGTACTGGGGACGTAGTAAAG